GGTGCTCCTCGGCCAGTATCGGTGTGGCCCGTCGGTGGTGGTGCTGCGGGCCCGGTGACTCTCGACGCGGCGTTGCGGCCGTTGGCCGTGGGGCGGCGCGGTGGCGCTGTGGCTGGCGGCGCCCGCCCAGCCTAGATCTGGGCCCTTTTGGACCCATCTGGGTTGGGGCGGGCCGGTGGGTTGGTGCTCGGCGGCGACGTTCCTTGGTGGTGGCGTGGTGGCGGCGGTCTCGGGCGGTGAGGACTTCGTTGGCCGGCATGCTGCAGCGTGGTGACAGGACTGTCAGGGTCCACATGGGTCAGGCCGGGCCGGGCCATCGAGGCCTGGCAAGTCCTCGTCGCCGCCTCCGGTCGGCTCCGCTGCGGTGGTGGAGGATGTCCCCTCCTTCCGGTCGAGTTGTGGTCGCTCCCGTGGCTGGTGTCTCCTCTTCCTCTCCAAGCCTCATGTTGACAGCTACAGTGAAGCGGGAAGGGTTGTCCAGTAATCATGGTGGCACAAGCTGGTGGGTGGCCGAGGAGGTGGTGCATTTCGAAATGCCTGAGGTAGCGGTGGTGGTTGTGGATACGAGAAATCCATGTCGGCCTGGCTGGCACCAATGCGATGACGCCTGCGAGCGCCGTCGGACCTTCCTGAGGGGCATCGGGTATACCCCTTCCCCACTATCCCTCGCGTACCGGGGGAAACCCTAGAACTTCTTCGGGCAACAGCGGCGGCATCGTCGCATTCCCTCTTGAAGGTGTTGCTTGGGGCGCGGCGCTTCGGGATGCTGGGAGCGTGGTGGTACTTTTTCGGGGGGTCAGTGGTTGCCGGACTTCCCTTCTTCGTTGATCTGCTGGTGTCGGCATTTATTTCTCTTTCTGCTTGTTGTTTTTCTTTTGGGCTTATCTGTGCTGCGGCCCCGGCGAGTTGGATTTATCGGGTGTTTGCTTTATAATATAAAGCGGGGGAAACCCTTTTTCGTAATTTAGGTTGTATGATGATGGCAGCCGACTCTGCTATTCATTAATTGTAATACCCAACTACAATTCTCCAATTTGCCTTGTTGTATATTTAGAGATAAATCTACCGGAGCCATTAGAAAACAATTCAGTACACTTATACACATATTATGCATATAAAGTATGAAGTGAAGTTTGTTTTAAAGCATATACTTTCGCATATTCAAAATATAAGTCTTTTTGGACTTTGAAATGATATTCTTGAAGATGGTATTTTGACTATCAAAATTTCTTTTGTGCAAACAGCCTTCCATAAAAATACAGGTAAATTCTAGTTTTTACTCCATCTTTTGACATTTTTCTTAAAGGATTTACCCTCATTTAAGGGATTTCATCTGTTTTGCCCCATTTAACGAAACTTATGCCACATTTTTACATTTTTTTTGTCATTGAGCATGTTATGTCAAATATGTCAAGTCGGTCCCACCTGTTAAGGCCACCCGCTCACCCGCTTGCTTAGTTCATCGTTCTGTTAAGCTCCATGCCCGTCTGGTCCCACGTTACATGCCTCTCCCATGGTACGTGGTCGAATCACGTGCGTGCAGCTTCAACACCTATTGCTGCCACCTGTGAAAACCTATCCTTAGACGTGCGCGAGAGTGAGGGGAGGGTACTGAAGTGGTGTGCCTTGAGTAGGGTCGTGGTGTGACTTAGCGAACTAGATGACGTGGAGTGAGAGGGCGAGCGCGTGAAACCAGAGTTAGAGGAAAACCCTTCTATGTGGCATGCCATGTACTCCCTCCGTCCGGAAATACTTGTCACCAAAATGAATAAAAAGGAATGTATCTACATGTATATTAGTTCTAGATACATCCCTTTTTATCTATTTTGATGACAAGTATTTTCGGACGGAGGGAGTATACTCTAAAAGATTGGACCGTTTTGGCAGAATGTGCTCAAAATAAATAAATAAATATAAAATGTGGCATAATTTCGTTATATGGCACAAAATGGATGAAAATCCCGTAAATGGGATAATTCCTGTAAAAAATATCAAAAAGGAGGTATAAACAAGAATTTACCTAAAAAATAATTATGCATTGTAAAAGCACATGGGAATAATTTTAGTAGTGCCAGTTTGATAGTTTGGATGTTTCTAATTTGCTTTGAGGTAAAAATTGAGCTTTTGTTCTTAAGAGTGTGGACTATATTAGGATTTGAAAGAAATGTTTCTAAATATTACTCTCTCCGTTTCTTTTCGCTCCGCATATACAATTTGTTTGAAGTCAAACTACACAAAGTTTGACTAGATTTATATTTAAAAATATTAATATCTATAATACCCATGAAAATTAATTTCATGATGCACCTAATGATATTGATTTTATATTGTGAATGTTGATATTTTTTTCTATAAAGTTTATCAAACTTTATAAAATTTGATTAAAGTCAAATTTTAAATGGAAATTAAAAAGAAACAGATGGGGCACTTAATTCGCACCGCTAGCTAGCCAGTATGCATTACAACATTAGGAGCATGATAGGACAACCAGAGACGGGTGTTGATATGTACTCAAGTTATATTAAATCGGCGATACATATTTTAGGATC